ATCCACCCTGAGCTTGCTTTGCCTTTCTTGACTGGTCTTGTGACCCCTTGCTCTCCCCCACTTTGCCTATGGGGGTGTGTCAAATGTTATGTCTACTACAGTTTGTTTAGGCTGTAGTGGGGTAGTTACTATGGGGTACAGTAAGTTTAGGGTTTCCTACTTGTACCCAACTCTTTCCTAGTGCAATCACTCTTGTTCATTCTGACACCAGGTATACTATGACGCACTTATCTAAGAGCGGGCGGAAAGCTTCGTTCATGGTCATTTGAAAAGTGGCGGGGGCGTTGGTCAGTCCGAAGGGCATGACGGTGTATTCGAAAGATCCGTAGCGTGTGTGAAATGCGGTCTTAGGGCAGTCGGGCGGATTGACGCGAATCTGGTGGTAACCCCCTCGAAGGTCGATTTTCGAGAAAACCCGGGCTGTGCGCAGTTGGTCGATCAGTTCGTCGGCTCGCGGGATGGGGTAACGGGATTGATGGTAACCCTGTTCAGTGCTCTTTAATCTATGCACATGCGAAATCCCCCATCTTTTTTCGGTGTGAACAGTATCGGTGCTGCGAAAGGCGACGAACTAGGGCGAATGAATTCCTTCTCAAGCAGGTAATCGAGCTGCTTCCTCAGTTCGTCTAGTTCGGGCTGGGGCAGTCGGAACTGTCGATGTACTGTTGGCTGTGCCCCCAGTTCTAACTCTATCCTGTTGTCGTGCGGTCGCTGAGGTGGCAGTCCCGTCGGTAAATCGTCCGGGAAATGTCACTGTACTGCTTCAACAGTGCTGCCAGATCACTCGGTACGTCGGCCAGCAGTTTCTGTAAATCCCCTCCTTTGTCTGCTGCCTCGGCTTCCCGAATGTCGACCGCGTACACGTCAGCTCCCGCCGCTACGGCGCGTTTCATCGTGATCGCGTTGACACGCACCGACGAAGACTCAGGCGAGCCCCAGCGAGGTAAGGCGATGTTGTTACCGTTCACTCGCACGGTGCAGTCACCCGTCGTCTAGTCGGTTCGCGGATTGTGTCGTCGCAGCCAATCACGCCCGAGTAAAATATCGGTTCCGTCGAGGGTCGTTGTGAGCATTTCCTGGCTAAACGTGAAGTTACCCCCACATCGAATCCGAACCCGGTCTACGCGTTCCCGTATCGCCAGCGGCGTGCCGTCTACCAGTCTTGCGTCGATCTCAGGTAAACATCTGTCCAGTGGCAGTCGCTGTTTTCATGCTGTGGCAGTGTTGATGAGGCTGTGGCTGGCTCCCCCGTCTACGAAGATTTTTACTAAGTCCGTCCCGATTTTCCCACTAAGCAGTATGGGGCTGTCTACCGTAGTCCCCTCCTTATTCGGCCGGGTGTGGTCGATTGCGTGAACCGGCACAATCACTCGGTGAGGGTCGGTTGGGTCGGGCGAGCGGCGTGACCTGTCAGTAGAGGGCCCGTCTGCTACTGACTCCCAGCGTTTCCCTGCTGCTTGGTCTGTTTGTGCTGCTCAGCTTCCCCCTTTCCCTTAGCGTTTTCCGGGCATTCGCTCTTGCGCTGTCCCGGCCGTTTGCACGCAAAGCAGCGCCCTTTGAATGGTGCGGCAGCGGCATTTGCGGCGACGGCACGTATCGTGGCGCCCTCTTTCGTCCCACGAGGCCGATGTCCCCAATGGCTGCTTCCGTAGGACCCCGGTCTCGGTCGGCGGAAGAAATCAAGTTTCTCCGCCATAGCAAGAATTTCTTGAAAGTCGGTGACGCCGCGAAGCTGGATTTCCTGAGCGATGTCCTGCTTCAGGCCGCCGATGTAGCGGTCGATGCGCTCGCTCTCGTGCATATATCCCACTTGCTCGCATAGCGCCAGAAATCCGCTCGTGTAGTCTTGGACGGAACCGAGTTGGCGCCAAGTGCGGAGCTTCTGCCACGCCGCGATTGAAGCCGCGATTGGCTCGAAACGAGCGCGCAGACCTGCGCACCACGCGTCCCACGTGCGATACTGGGGCACCTCCACGAAATACGACGGCGCCCAGGGTCCAGTTTGTCCTTCCCGTGTCGGTAGAGTCGCGTAGTCCACCGGCTTCGTGACGATGAGACGCCACCAGTCCATGGCGGGTCCTCGCAGCAACGACACGGCGTAACGAATCTTCGCCGTATCCTCCGAGACGTAGTTCGCGTCGAAGAAAACGTTCAACGTGAAGAGCCACGCCTGAACGGTAGGACCACCCCGCTGACTTGGGTCAAAGCATGGCGGACGCTGCGGCTTTAGCGGCATCGGCGACGGAAGAGCTGATTCGCCGGCCGGCACTGAAATCGTGACTCGAGGCTGAGTCCTGGCCGCATTCGTCGCGTCGGGGTGTGTCGTGCCGTGGTCGTCGTCTCCGTCATGGCGGACGACGCCATCACTTGCGGCGCTCGCGGGTTGCCCCACACTTCCGTGCTGTGATGCCTGTGGTGCGGGCTGAATCGGAGTGCCAGGTGCTTGGGATTGTGCTCGTGTGAGGTCGTTTTGCAGGGACGAGCGTTCTGCCGTCAGCGTCGCGATTTCCTCGGCGCTCTCGCGGATTTGTCGCAGCAGATCGTTCAAGTGCTCCTGCGTGAGAGTCGTGACGTCGATATGTTCGGCCATTTTCGAAGGGCGTCGGCTCGTCTTAGTCTAGGTGCAGTCGTGGCTGCACGCGTTTACGAGAGAATGCGAGGACAGCGGCTCCTAGGTGCTAAGGTACGTGAGTCCCTTCGAGTGAAAAATCAAAAGTTGATTTCCTGGGGTGCGGAGATGCGCGGTCCGAAAGAAAGGGGCTCTGAATACCAAGTGTTATGGGTGCAATGAATCGAAGTAGGGAGAATTGCACTAAGGTGTCAAACGAGTACAAAATGTGAGCGAAGGCATGAGCGAACATTTATACGCGAAACATGCAAACGGTAACGCGGTGCGTGCGAGCTAGCTAGTGCTACGCTGGAAGCGAGGCTCGGGCTAGTCCCGAAGCGTAGGCCGACACGGCCAGGCCAGCAGTGCGAGGTTTGGTGAAACAGTGCGCGCGACGTCGGCGAAGCCCCGTTAGCAGTAACGGGCGAACAACGGCTGCTGCTGTACGCGATGTTGCAGGGTGCGCTAAGGAATATCGAGAAAATCCCTCACAAAATCTCGTGGTACACCCTGGGGTTGGGCGAGCAGGGGGTGGTGAAGGAGCAGCAGTGGAGGGTAGGGTGGTGGTGAACATCCAGTGAATGGCTTATGTGGATGAGGGAGCAGTGGGTGCTTTCATGCCGAAATTGGTTCTGGCGATTGATGCGGTGAGGGTGGTGGAGGGGTAGGAGTTGAAAAGGCCGTTAAGGCAGAGAAAGCTTCTAGTGGTTGAAGACTATGTTACGAAAAAAATAAACTTGTTGGGATATATTTTGCTGGTACTGTAACAAGAACAAAGTCTCCCACTGTAACGGAGCCCTTGCCATCAAGTATTTTCGCGAAAATATGAGAGTTCAGATTAGCTCTTGACCTCAGAGTCATACTCATCGTTTCGGGTTTGTTTGACGCGTTTCGAAACGGTCCGCGGTTTTCAGCGTTTCAGACCATTGCGTACCACAATGACCCTTGCGTTGTCAATTGTGAACTAACACCCATGACCCGCTCTGAGCATTGCGCATTTTCAAAGTTGGACAATCATGGGTCTCAAGGAGCCATTGAATGGCTAGAGGAGACTGAATACTAGGTACCAAACAGTCGCGACAAGTGCGCTCGAGTCCATGGCGAGCGCGAATGCATGATTTTTCGTGTTGACTACATAGCGTCTATCTACCATTGGCGGATTGGGAGCTTAAGAATTTTAATCTCCATGGCATCGGTGCAGCCTACTGGCGAACTGAGAGAGCGCGAGCGACGCCGGGAGAAGAAGAGACAGAAGAGCAATGCTGACCCAAAAGGCAAGGACTGTTCTTGTGTCGCGACGCAGCGTCCCACTTTTCACCTCATCTTCGCACTCCGAACGAGAAGCACCTAGCTCCACATTCCTGCTTAGATGTTTAGACGCAAAAAGAAGAAAAAAAAAACGTAACAATATCGTATATTGAGGCAACTCTTCCAGGTATCTTTTGTCACTTAGTTCCTCTTCACTCTAACTCCATCTATTCTGTCCGTCCTCTATTGATTTCTTTCCTGCTTTTGCTTCCTCGCGAGCTATACGCGCACTACGAAACAAGTAGCTAGCACCTCATTCAATAATTTCCTTTCCCTCATGTGATTCCTGTCCCTGCTGCTAATCTTCGTTGAAATCCTCTCCACTTCACCCTTCACCACTTTTTACGCCGTTTCCTCTCTCTCCTCCTCGCTGTCACTCATGCTGGAAAGAGTTTCAGAAAATAAGATTGTGGGGTATAAACTTGCCTGTCCACTACGTCATTCTCATCATTAGTTGCACCATGGAGTCTTTTTACTGATGTTGAGGTGGGCGTTTCGAGAAGTGTTCGAAAGGAGCACTTCTCGTGCTTGCAAGGAGATGCTCAAATGGAGAACTCATAGGAAAATTCCTCAATTTTCAAAGCGCAAAAAAAAAAAAAAAAAAAAAAAACTTCATCCCAAAGCCCTTTGCGAGTGCTCTACCCGTCTGGACCGGCTTACAAGGCTTGAAATCAGAGCCACGAAGAAAACGAACAGCAAATGAATACAAAGAATGTTTGAAACAACTCCAATCCAAGCCATTCCCCTTTATCTCCATCCCGTTACTCTCCTTCCCGCCCATCTCATCCCATATCACCCTCCCAGCCGCCACCCCCAGTGATCCCATAGACAAGCTGCCCGAGAAAATCTGGCACAAAGTATTCCACTTCTTGCTGCTGCCGCCCGGCTCCTCCCACCCTGGTCCTGCTGCTAAACCCTCGTCCGGGGGAGACGCAAGACGCCCTGGTATCTCACCGCCACAACTCAACCCACAGCGGGAAGAAACCTGCCCGTGAAATTTGCGGACCCTTATTTCACAGCAGCCGGGCAGCACTGGAAGAATGCGAGGAGCTATGGCAGTGGGTGGGCGCTGCTGTGCTGCGCCATGGCCAGCAAGAGGCTCCTGGCCCACGTGCTCTCCTTCTCCGTGAGTACTGCTCTGCTCTGCCCTGCTTGGAGCTTGAATTTGTTTTTGAGGCACTTAAAAAACAGACCCGTAGTTCTCTCCTTCTCCGTGGGTACTGGCCTGCTTTGCGCTTACGCTTTACATTTGGCGTTTGTTGATGAAACCTTGTTGCGAGTTTTCTGCTAGAGGCACGAGCAGCCTATCTGACAAACAACTCCGTTCTGACTTTTCAGTCGACTCATAAGTCGTTTACGCTTTACATTTGGCGTGTGTTTATAGAGCCTTGTTGCGAGTTCTCTGCGTGAGGCACGAGCAGCAGCCTATCTGACAGACAACTCTGTTCCCATCACACCTTCCAGCCAACCAGCCTTCACGTTCTCTCTTCCTATATCGACCCTCCCTCTCTGCAGGCCCACCACCCCATCGCGCTGGTATACAACGAGCTACACCCGCAGTGGATCAAGAGCGTCGAATTCTTCCTGCCCTGGCACCGATCTGACTTCAGACTCAAAAGTCAATTCTCCATCCCATCCGTCCCTCTCTGCACTGCAGGCCCACCACCCCATCGATCTGGTCTACAACGAGCTACACCCGCAGTGGATCAAGAGCGTCGAATCCTTCCTGCGCTGGCGCCCCCGTCTCAAGTCCCTCGCGCTCACCTTCACGCACATCCAGCAGATCAACACCCTTTGCTCGCCACGCACACGGACCTTCGCCTCCCTCACCTCCCTCAGTCTCAAGCTCCGCGGCTGTGTCGACAAATCTTACATGTTTGACGACGTTGAGAAGGATGATGAGGACGAAGTGGAGGAGAATAACTGGAAATGGGGCTTAAACTGCTCGAATCTGCAGCGGGTGAAGCTGGGTCGGGGCAAGTGGGACCTCGAGACTGTGGGGTTCGAGTCGCTGCGCAGCTTGACTCTCAAACACGTGGACTGGGAATACGTGGATGTTGAGTATCTAGGCACGCTCACACCGCAACTCACGGAGCTCACGCTCTATCATAGCTGGGATTTGGACCGGCTGTCCTCAGGTCCCGGTGGTGGCGGCACATTCACTTTCGACTTATCGAAAGCTGAAGCCGTCCGCTTTTACTTCCCTCTGAGCAACCTCACGCTCGCCCTCACCCTCTCTCCCTCGCTCAAGACCTTCTCAGCGATGGGTCATCATCTCGTGTTCTCGTGCACGAGCACCGAACCTCTTGCCCTCCACCAGCTGTCGCTATACGGCCAGCAGCGGCTTGTCATTTCCTCCCTCCACCTTGCCTCTGCACGAGTGGCCTATCTCAACGGCCCTCCCAAAGACCTGCACTCACGCGGTGACGACCCCTCTTCCTTCCTGGACTCCCCTGTATTGTCCCCTGGAATTTCACCTGAACGTTCCCCTGACAGGCAGGGCTCAGACCGCCGCAGCTCTGCTGAGTTCTCCTGGGTTGAATGGCTGCGCACTATAGCGCCAACAGTGGAGGTGCTTATAGTGAGGCATGGTGTGCCTGTAGAGGGGGTTGACGCGGAGTGGAGCAGCCTGCGCAGCCTTGGGATTGTCATGGAGAGAGAGGAGCGGTTTGAGGTGGATTTGAAGGTTGAGAAGCGTCGGGATGACGGTGAGAGGGAGGTTACAGTGGAGGAAATTCAGGAGCGCAATGGGAAGCTTTTGCAGGGGCATTGGCAGAAGCAGAGGCTTTTGCTGCAGCAGCGGCAGCAGCAACTTCTTTCGCAGAAGCAGGATTTGCAGGAGGGGCAGCAGTGGCTGCGGCAGCAGCAGCAGCAGCAGCAGCAGCAGCAGCAGCAGCAGCAGCAGCAGCAGCAGCAGCAGCAGCAGCAGCAGCAGCAGCAGCAGCAGCAGCAGCAGCAGCAGCAGCAGCAGCAGCAGCAGCAGCAGCAGCAGCAGCCGCCTCAGCCCCAGCAGCCGCAGCAGCCACAGCAGCAGCGGCAGCGGCAGCGGCAGCAGCCGCAGCAGCAGCGGCAGCAGCAGCGGCAGCGGCAGCAGCAGCAGCCGCAGCAGCAGCTGGTGCAGCAACATATGCAGCAGCAGCAGCTTTTACGGCTGCAGCACCAGCAGCAGCGCCAGGAGCAGCAGCTTTTACGGCAGCAACAGCAGCTTATGCAGGAGCAGCGGCAGCAGGAGGAGGAGGAAGAGGAGGAGCAGAAGAAGCAACAGCAAGAAGTAAGACCTTTGTTTATCTTGGCTCCAAACCTGCGAGCAATCTTCTTCCCCACCAGCGCATGGGAGGAGCAAACCCTCGCTTCCCTCCGCGAATTCTGTCCCTCTCTCGCCCTGTACTGCATCTCACGTCGCTCATTCTACTGGGAGAAGCAGGGAAGAGAGTTGCCTGAGACCCCTGTGGTGCATGTGAGGGAGGCGAGAAGCGGGGTGCCACGTGCTTGCTTTGCGGAGAAGCGGCCGAAGAACGTGCGGGAGAAGATGCACAGTGTGAATAGGGAGCTGGTGAATGAGTACAGTGTTGATGTGGATGAGGCGTATATGTTTAAGTACAAAGGCAGGATGTGGCAGACATATTGGGGTGATGTTTGAGTCGACTCAATACGGCAGTCAGCCGAGAGTACAGTGTTGATGAAGATGAGGCTTATGGTATATGTGGTTTAAAACTATTGATAGCTAGAGAGTCAGGTAGAAGAGGGATATTTTAAAATTATTGACAGCTAGAGGGATAATGGAAGTCGTTGATTGATTAGAAACAGAGATCATAGTACAGCATGTTTGATAGAAAAAGTACTGTGGGTCAAACATGCTGGTACCGTATTCTCCCGGATAAAACACCCTAGGGTATTATGAAAACCACTGGGAAAAAATGGGGGGGGTCTCCTCAAAGGAAAATCCTACATAATACCCGGGTCTTATTATATGGTATATTTTTTATCGAGTAGAAAAGATGTGAAACAAAATCAGGTGTCTGACTTCACTTCAAGATTGTTGACCAGTGCCGCAAAACCGAGTATACGAGGATAACGTGACCGCCCACTGGAATCTGCCACGTGGCATATTCGAGTGGGCAATTTTGGCACTTGATAGGGTGAAAACAAAGCCAATTGCGTGGCGAGGGTTCATGCAACCGCCGGCCAGAATCGCGCACGGTGGTGCGTTCTTACTGTACCAGTCACTTCTTGACTGGTTTGGTCACGTGTCTGTGCCTCATGTGAGAAGGTGATTTTCACCTATTGGGCCACTTGCAGCGGAAGATTCGCCAGCGTGGCGACAGCGAGATTGTGGGAGGGGGGAAATCTTGGCAGATTTTAAGTGAAAGTACACGCGAAATTTCACCTAGGGAGCAATTCTCGCGATATCCTCCCGTAAGGAATCGGACTCGATAACAGCTATAATAGGAATCTACCGTATAAGAAAAGGGGGGTGTTATAGAAAATCACCCCAAAAGGGGGGGTATAGTACAAACGGGGTCGGATATAATACCCACCCCGTATTAGCTACCCGGGGGTGTACAATTACGGGGGGGTGTTTTATCCGGGAGAATACGGTACGTACAGGATTGTTAAAATGCCGTAGTGCTGCTGGGTCTGACTGAATGCTTGTACAGCCAATCTGCTGGAACGCTTTCTGTTTGTGTTACCGTACAAACTATCAAGGTTATATTGAACACAATACAGTATGTACGGTATGATCATTATGAGGCGTCTGTGGTTGGCTGTTTCTTGAAAGGGTTTGCCTCTTGGTCCATAACCGAAAGAGCGTATTGCACCTGCCACAGGGGATCGTGTTGGTGGGATGGACGTTGCAAGAGTTGAACTTCATACAAAGAAGAATGGCGAAGGCAGCGAATGGCCTAGGGGATGGGTGGGAGTGGCAATGGGACCCATGGGTTGAACGTGGTTACGGTAAGATGCTTTTTGAAAGGGTTTGCCTCTTGGTCCATAACTGAGAGCATATTGCACCTGTCACAGAGGATTGGGTAATGAATGCATCATTCAAGAGTTGAATCTCCTTGAGAAGATGTAAAGCAGGGGTTAGGTGACCAGGGTTGAGACTAGAAAAACGGAGAGAAAATGGGCGAAAAAAACAAACTTTCCCCCAAGGTAGGGAATATGGTAAAAAGCAACTTTCCTTGGGGGAAAGCCTCTACATACTCCTGTTTGGAAAAACCCGGCGATGGCAGAACGGAATGCCAGGTTGGGAATATGGTAAGAAACCCACCTGTAGGTGGCGGCAACTCAGGCAGACCTGTACTGTACATCTCGCGCTCAAGGAAGACTGTACATCTCGCGCTCAAGGAAGACTGTACATCTCGCGCTCAAGGAAGACTGTACATCTCGCGCTCAAGGAAGACTGTACATCTCGCGCTCAAGGAAGACTGTACATCTCGCGCTCAAGGAAGACTGTACATCTCGCGTTCAAGGAAGACTGTACATCTCGCGCTCAAGGAAGACTGTACATCTCGCGCTCAAGGAAGACTGTACATCTCGCGCTCAAGGAAGACTGTACATCTCGCGCTCAAGGAAGACTGTACATCTCGCGCTCAAGGAAGACTGTACATCTCGCGCTCAAGGAAGACTGTACATCTCGCGCTCAAGGAAGACTGTACATCTCGCGCTCAAGGAAGACTGTACATCTCGCGCTCAAGGAAGACTGTACATCTCGCGCTCAAGGAAGACTGTACATCTCGCGCTCAAGGAAGACTGTACATCTCGCGCTCAAGGAAGACTGTACATCTCGCGCTCAAGGAAGACTGTACATCTCGCGGATGCAGGGTATGCCTGAGTTGCCTCTGCGGATCACAGAGGCAGCAGCTCAGGCATACCTGTACAGTCTCGCGCTCAAGGAACCCCACTATAGCAGAGCAAAATGCAGGATCGGGGATGCGGTGCGCTCTGTAAGAGGCGGTGGGCAGATAGCCTCACAATGGCAGTAAAGAATAGAAGCTGCATCTAGGAGTTCTTGAGAGATATCTAAGCACACCTGTACAGTCTCCCGCTCGAGAAATCCAGCGATGGCGGAGCGGAAGGCGGGGTCGGGGATGTGGTGGGCGCTGTAGGTGGCGGTGGGCAGATAGCCGCGCGGCAGCTTGTGCTCGCCCTGCGCGCCCGCCTCCACCCGCACTAACCCCGCTTCTATGGCTGCCTCTATTGCCTGGCAGGGGAGGGAACGGAGTAGAGGGAGGTGGGGAAAGGGAGAAGGGAGACAGGATTGAATGGGAAGGGGAGACGGAGGGAAGGGTGGAAGGCGTGGTGAGATGTGTGGCCGCCTGTATTGCCATCCCTGCTTCTATGGCCGCCTGTATTGCCTGGTGGAGGGAGGGCAGGGGAGGTGGAATGGGGGAATGGGAGTGGGGGAGAGTGGGTAAGGGGGTAGCAGCTTGTGCATCCCTGCGCCCCGGCCTCACCCCTCCCCCACCATGCACTTTCTACTCCATTTTCGACTCACATCACACACCTGGTAGCAGCACGCACCTGGTAGTAGCACGCACCTGGTAGTAGCACGCACCTGGTAGTAGCACGCTTCAAAGTGCAGGAACGGGTAGTGCGTGACAGGCAGCGCCCCCCAGTTGCGGCCAAACACCGCCCCCCCCCCCACCAGGTTCAGCGCACCTTCCACCATGCGCCCTGTGCCATCGTCACTCCACCTCATGCTTCGACTCACACACACCTGATACAACACTGATGGCATGGCATGCCAGCACGCACCTGGTAGTAGCACGCTTCAAAGTGCAGGAACGGGTAGTGCATGCCAGGCAGCGCCCCCCAGTTGCGCCCAAACACGGCCTCGCCGCCCACCAGGTTCAGCGCACCCCCCACCATGCGCCCTGTCTCGTCCTCCGCCACCACCAGCAGCACCTTCTCTCCCAGGCGCTCCCCCAGCAGATGGAAGAACTCGCGAGTGAGGTACGTCTGCCCCCACCTGGTTGGGGTAGGGGGGACAATGGGAAGGGAATGGAATCAGCTCCCCACAATGCGCCCTGTGCCATCCTCCGCCACCACCAGCAGCACCTTCTCTCCCAGTCGCTCCCCCAACAGGTGGAAGAACTCGCGGGTGAGGTACGTCTGCCCCGCGTGGTGCGGATGGGGAAAGGGAAGCAATGGGAATGGGAGGAGCCCCCTCTTGTTCTCTCGCTGCCACCACCAGCAGCACCTGCTCACCCAGCGGTCTCCCCAGCAGGTGGAAGAACTCGCGAGTGAGGTACGTCTGCCCCCACCTGGTTGGGAGGGGTGTAGTGTGGTGGTTGGGAAAGACAGGTGGATGGAGAGAAGGGGGCCGAGCAAGTGAAGGGAGCCCCTTACTCCCCCACCATGCGCCCTTTGCCATCCTCCGCCACCACCACCAGCACCTTCTCTCCCAACTGCTCCCCAGCAAGTGAAAGAACTTGCGAGTGAGGTAGGTCTGGCCCCACCTGGTTGGGGTAGGGGGGACAATGGGAAGGGAATGGTATAAGCCCCCACCATGCGCCCTGTGCCATCCTCTGCCACCACCAGCAGCACCTCCACGCCCAGCCGCTCCCCCAGCAGGTGGAAGAACTCGCGAGTGAGGTACGTCTGCCCCCACCTGTTGAGAGCATGGGTGGATGGGGGAAATGGAGACGATTGAGGGAGGCGGATTCGGGAAGAACGAGGAGCCCTGTGCGCCCATCCAGTCAATCCCTCGTTCCTCTCCTTGGACACATTTGAGGCACGTAAACTCTAGGTCCGCCTTTTGAGGCTCCTCAAAAGTAGATACATTTGAGGCACCTAAACTCTAAGTCCGCCTTCAGGCAGCAATGAGCTGCCTACAGGAGGCTTCGTTTTTTTTGTTCTTGGTCTAGGTTTTATCAACTCACTCGCTAAACCTGCCTGAGGACTCACTTTCGGTTGGTGGTGTTGCAGTAGAATTGGAAGAAGCTGTTCCAGTGGTGTGCCTGCAAGGTTATAGAAGATTTGGGGAGGGAGGAGATGAGTGAGGAGAGTGAGGGATGGGGGTGAAAGGTGCTACAGGAGAAGCTAATGCTGTGCCTGCAAGAATATGGACAGAAGGAGAGTGGGGGGGTGGAGGAGATGAGTGAAGAGAATGAGGGATCGGGGTGGAGTTTGCTTTGGGAGAAGCCAATGGTGTGTCTGCAAGAAATCAGATGAAGCGAGAGAACGGTTTTTTTTTTTCTTTCTTTTTTTGCGTGAAGGTTGCTCTGGGAGACGCCAATGGTGTGTCTGTAAGAAATCAGATGAAGAGGGAGAACTTTATGAGTAGAGCGGGAGGTGAATGGGGGGGAGGGAGGAGAGGGGGGTTGAGAGAGGCAAGGGAAAGAGCAGAGAGAAGGGAGAGAAAGCAAAAGAGGAAGTGGATGATATCACGAGAGTGACTTCTGAGTCGACTCAAAAGTCACCTCGAAAGCAAGAGAGGAAGTGGATGAGATCACGAGAGGAGGACAAGAGGAGGGTGTTTATTGTCGCTGCTGCCTGCATCCATCTACACATTCATGAAGGATGAAGAATCAATGCATGAAACTCCGTAGAGTGTAGAGTACATTCTTTTTGACACTCAATATTCTCCCCTCAACATGACGTCATCTCGCCTCAACATGACGTCATCTCGCCTCACCTTAATGTCATCGCCCCTCAACCGCAGCAGCTTCAAGCCCTGCGCCGCTACCTGTGATCAGAAAGCGGGAGGAAGGACAAAGGAGAAACCTGAGCTTCAAGGGTTGTGCGACGACGATAGCATTATACATTATTACAGGTTGAGCATTCTTACTTGGTATCAGGATAAGTGGAAAGTGGTGGTAGATTGAATTCGCCATGAACGGAACCGAGAAAAGAACCGTAGCTAGCGACGTTATTGCAATTTTGTCAAGGTGAAATGGAACGATGAGTGATGGCGTAAACTGGTTGCTTTCATGTGGTGTGATGAGATGTGCCACATGGCATGGCATGGCATGATGAGATGTGCCGTATGGCATGGCATGGCATGGCATGGCATGGAATGGAATGGAATGGCATGGCACGGCATGGCATGGCACGGCATGGCATGGCACGGCATGGCATGGCACGGCATGGCATGGCACGGCATGGCATGGCACGGCATGGCATGGCACGGCATGGCATGGCACGGCATGGCATGGCATGGCACGGCATGGCATGGCACGGCATGGCATGGCACGGCATGGCATGGCACGGCATGGCATGGCACGGCATGGCATGGCACGGCATGGCATGGCATGGCATGGCACGGCATGGCATGGCACGGCATGGCATGGCACGGCATGGCATGGCACGGCATGGCATGGCACGGCATGGCATGGCACGGCATGGTCAAGACAGCACCTTCTTCCGCTCCTGTCGAATGGTCTTGCGCTTGGACTGCTTCAAATCCATAAGAAAATCGTTGAAGCTGGTGTTGCAAGTGGTGCAGATGGTTGGAAACAAGCAGGCACGCAAAAACGGGGGACAGAGGGGTGGGACGGAGAGGAACGGGCGAGAGCAGGGGAGGGAGGTAGAGGAAGGGGAGAGAGCGGGGGTGGGCTGAGGGTTGTTTGGGTCCACTCCAAAGGCGTATTGCACCTTGACAGCTGCAAAAGACATCCGTTAAGAGAAAGCACGTAAAGTCAGAAGCCCTTGCTTCTCCAAACCAGTGCATGAAGCCCCATGCCATGCGAGGGAGGTTTCATATGCCTACCCTCTCACATCTCCAATGCCTACGCTCAAATCTGCCACATGCCATACCCCATTCTCCCATCTTCCATATTCCTGGTCGCTCCAGCGCTATTGCACGCCTCACCTGCCATAGCCCCCCTCCCCACCTGCCACACCCCATGCCTCTGCCCTCACCTGCCATAGCCGCGGTTGCTCTAGTGGTACTGCATGCTCATGCGGTGCAGGAAGCCATTATAAGAACTTAGGTACCGCCACAACCCATGCCTGCCTGCCACCCCTACGGTTGAAGCCTCTCCCACCCACCTGCCATAGCCCTCCCACCCACCTGCCATAGCCACGGTTGCTCCAGTTGTACTGCATGCCCATGCGGTGCAGAAAGCCATACGGTTCATTCCTGCCACACTTCACACCCACACCTTATGCCTACCCACCCATGCATGCATGCTGCTGTGCTCACCTGCCATAGCCCCCCTCCCCACCTGCCACACCCCATGCCTCTGCCCTCACCTGCCATAGCCACGGTTGCTCCAGTGCTACTGCATGCTCATGCGGTGCAGGAAGCCATGCTGGGGATTGAGGAGGCGCCATGCACCCCACCCGTATTGTTGCATTCCCCACCCGCCTGCCCACCCATGCATGCATCCCTCTCACGCACCTGCCATAGCCGCGGTTGCTCCAGTGGTACTGCATGCCCATGCGCTGCAGGAAACCATGGCGTGCCATGACCTGCCAGTCGTCCTTGCATGGGAACGTCACATGCACCGATGATACCCCGTACTGCCCAGTGTGGGTGTGGGGGAGGAGCGAGAGGAAGCGGGAATGGGGAGGGGGACGGGGGGAAGTGAGGAAGGGAGGGAGACGGGGAAAGAGACGGGGGGTGAGACCATAAGCAACCAGTCGGCCATATACACTCGGGATTGGGAGTCACTAGAATCCTCAAATGCCATGACTTGCCACTCGGCCTTGCATGGAAATGCTACGTGCACCGAGGACTTTTGAGACGTCTCAAAAGTCGTCTACGTGCACCGAGGATACCCCGTGCAGTGCAGAGTACGAGGGTGCGGTCTGCGTACAGGGTACGGTACGAGGGTAGGCCATGCTATGCTATGCCGCCTGTCAGCCTTGGATGGAAAGTAAAGCTCAAATCCCTTTCCCCTCTTCCAACCAGCCCCAAATACCCCCTTCCTTTCCCCCCCCATCACCTCGTCCGCCACTTGCTTCATGGCCTGGCACAGCCGCGACAGCACAGCAAGTCAACCCTGTGTCCCCTTACCCTGTCTCCCAAATTTCCCAGTCCATTTCCCCCTCACCCCTTCCCCTCACCCTCCCTCCTCACCTCCTCCGCCACTTCCTTCATGGCCTGGCACAGCCGCGACAGCACAGCACCCTAAGTCACCCTGCGTTTCCTTACCCTGCCTCCCGACTTCCCCCTCCACTCTCGCCTTCCGCCCCCTATCACTCCCCCCCCCTCCCCACCTCACCTCGTCTGCCACTTGCTTCATGGCCTGGCACAGCCCTGACAACACAGCCTCGCGGTCAGGTCCGTCCCGAACCAGCAGGCGAGGTCCGGTGGCGGGGGTGAAGGGCACGCAGGACTGCAGCTTCGGGTAGTACGAGCCTCCCGCCCGCATGAAAGCGTTGGCCCACGAGTGGTCAAACACATACTCTCCATAGGAGTGCCTGTGGGGACGCAGAGGAGAGGGAAGGAGGATATGAAGGGTACTATTACTGTCCATTGTAAGAAGCCACGCAGCCTCGGGTAGTACGAGCCTCCCGCCCGCATGAACGCATTGGCCCACGAATGATCAAATACATACTCTCCATAGGAGTGCCTGTGGAGAAGAGGGGAAGAAGAGGGATGAGGGAACGGAAAGGTGTCTATCTGTTCAACTGAATCCAGACTCGTGTGACACAAACGGATTGTGCTTCTCCGCTCCGCTCCTCCCCTCACCACCACAAGCTGCTGGCGCTGCTGTGGTAACCACCTCACCCCTACTCCCTCCCCCCCGCACCAATCCCGAACGATTTAAGCCACACACCCTTACCCTTACATGAATAAACGCACACGTACCCCTTTAAATAGAGGGGCAGCACTCCGACTACCCTCTCCTCATCGTCTCTCGCGACGAGGTGCTGTGGTAACCACCCCTCCTCACGGCACGCGCTTCTGCTCTCCTCCAAACACTGCAGGAACGCGTGTGACACAAACGGGTTGTGCTTCTCCGCGCCCCCCGCCGCGTCCAGCGCACAGGCGTCCCAGTCAGCAGCAGGGATGGAGGCGATGGAGGAGGAGACTGTGACTGTAAGGGCCGTCGCAGTAACGGGGGGTTCCTGTGCACATGGCAACGGGGACAGAAAGTGAAGGGCGGATGGAGTGGATGGGGCAAATGGGGTTCAACAGTCAACAGTCAACAGTCAACAGTCAACAGTCAGCACTCCACGAGCGCACAGGCGTCCCAGTCAGCCGCGGGGATGGAGGCGATGGAGGAGGAGACTGTGACTGTAAGGGCCGTCGCTGTAGCAGAGGGGCAGATGGAATGGATGGGGCGAATGGGGTTCCACACTTAACACTCAGCAGTCAACAGTCAGCACTCCACGAGCGCACAGGCGTCCCAGACAGCAGCAGGGGTGGAGGCGATGGAGGAGGACACTGTGACTGTAAGGGGTGTTGCTGTAGCGGGGGCAGGGGGAAGGGGGGAGGGGGTGGTCCCGCGCACGCGACAGCGGGATTAAAGAAAGAGAAGAGAAGGGTGGAGAGAGTCAAGAGACGTCTATAAACACATGCATCTCCACGCTCAGATGTTGATGCGTGACAGAATCGATGCACGCACTCCACGCATCAATTTTGAGACGAAAATGCACAAATTTTCACATCTGCGTCGGCGTCTCATTGCAATTCCCACTCACCCCTGCCCGCAGCCCGCTTCTCTCCGTCTCCTCCGCTGCCGCCGATCCTGCGCCCCCGACCAATGCGCTCCTAATGCGCTGCACCTTGTCGCCCTGTTGCTGCTGCTTCTCCTGCTCCTGCTGCCAGGGCCAAAGCGCGGCTGATACGGGGAAGTGACGAGAGTGGACTTGACAGCGCCTGTGATTAGAACGAAGGTGGCTGTAACCAGACTGTGTTTTTGCGACGTAATTATGGCCGCCGACGGGAACGCCGAAAAGCGGCACCGGCAGCAGAGACGAATGCGCTGCAGCTTGGATTGGCTGGGTCGATCTTTGCTGGGCGTGAATCGACACGTGGCATCGTGGTTGATGCTCGCGAAAAGCCTCGGTAACTTCGCCAATGGCGCGGTTACTGTGTATCCGCGCGCGCGAATCAGCGCATAGCGGTTTAAGGGCCTGATTGGAAGCGACGAGAGTCGCGGAACTCATGGCGAGAGGTGACACGACGAGTAAGTAACCCCGAAATTCAGGAACTCCGAGAATCCACCCCTTGTCGTATAATTGCTGCGACACCGAGGAGATTAACTTCAACCGTTCGAAATTCCGGTAAGAAAAAATCGCCTCAAAATGTCGCAGAACCTATGCTGGAATCGGATCGGCTAGTTGGACGTTGTCAGCCACTCACGGGGGGAAGCAGCGTCGAGAACGGGAAAGGATAGCTTCTTTCCCAAAATTAATATGGGATAAAGTGCAGCGGAGAACGACGCAAGCTGACTTGTACCCCGGATACTACTAAATTCGCGTCTGAGAAGGTGACGCCAGCTTCGAAGTATCGAAGTCCTAGGCGGGCGGGAGTGTTCAGAAACGAGGGAGCAAAGCCAAATGTGCTGCCACATGGAGTGAGATAAACGTCCCAGGCTTGAAAGTGGGACTAGTAGGAGGAATACATCCACCTTCTGTATAAGGCGCGTACCCATCGGTGAATTCAATTTGATTTCTGAGAAGTGCTATCTGAATACATAGAACTATCATTTCCTAAATTTGTCCGAATATGACAAAGGAAGCGAAATCTGGACGTTTTCTGTTCGGAATAGCCATGAAAACCCGAACTGTCTGTTACTGGTCCGTACGGCTCAAAATCTGGGGTTCCTGATTCACCATGTCAGTATGATGCCACGTGTTTTCGAGTCAGTGGATCCGGAAACAAACAAACATTTGGTAGAGGGAACTTTGGAAGGCGTATTCAGCAGTACTGCTTGAACAACCTCGTGTCACCTGTGACTTCATCATGCTCACATGTTGATCGATACTAATTTCATTTTTTGCAATGACTGAAGGATCCTAAATCTCACTCATTAAAATATTGTTGCACCTAACTATCAGAACAGTCATTTTCTGAGTGTAAAATCTACCACCGCATGTCTAAAACACAGAATCAATGCTGATTCTACATTGGAATCATAGGAAAGCTGAATTATTATTGCATAATTATGAAAAAATACTGATTGTTCAGTGAGTGAAGCCAACTAATAGACAGATTTTCAACAAACAATCTGAGATTGGACAGAGTCCTAAATGTTTTCCCTATACTATTTTCGGTATTTAAATTACTTTATTGATAGTATATAAGTTTCGCTAAGCATCTCAAATCAGAATCATGTAGCTCAAGTATCTCACTGATGCTTGACCCCCGCATTTCACTGCGATTAAAACCGTTCGTCGGGCATAGAGCACGATAAGAGTTTATTTTCCTGGGTGATGTCCACGAGCTCTCGGCTGCTCAAGGGTGGGAAGCTTTTAGCACGTCTCGGATGTTGTAAAGTTGATCGGGGCTTGAAGCTCTGGTTATTAACTAAACGAAATTTGCTTTCTAGATTCGAAGCGTCATTGATGATGCCGTGCCCTCTAAGCCGGCCCTTCCATTTCTCAGTTGACCAACATTACCAGCCCTTAATTGAAAGCGGAAACGAACATGAAGAAAATTAAGTAACCACGAGCATTTTAAATTGGGCAGTCTGGGTCTGGGTGGAGCCGAAATATCCACTGATTGTCATCAAACACGTCACATTCTTGTGAACGCGATCAAATTTGGTCAGGAGGTGTTTGTAATTCAAGCAAACCATGTGAAATCCCGAGTTACCGTACTAAAAACGTGTGGAGCGTACCACCAAGTCTAACATCCACTGCGTAGTCAATCGATTTAAAAAAACGAATTATGTATCGGAACGCGTTTCACCAAACATCACAATGGTGATTCGCCGATGGTTGCGATTCGGCGATGGTGGCTGACCTCGTTCTCCTGCTTGCCGTCACCGTCACTCTCGCATCATTTGCTTCCACGGCTGCTGCCGCTCGATCTGCTCGGTTTCTTGGCAACGGGATGAGTAACGATGGTAAGTCGCAGGCCTCGTCGATTGCATGACTTTCGATGGTAAGTCGCAGACCTCGCCGATGCATGACTTCCGATGGTTCCCGTGCGATGATGATGCGCAACTCGAGAAGCTAAAGGTTGGCTCCATGTGAGGTTGTTCCGCCTGCCACTCACTCCCTCCCCATCACTCCCCTCACCCCGTCCCGCTGTCCCCTCGTCCCCTGCGCGAACCTATGTGTCAGCACGGCGTGGCGGCAGGTGCGTCGGGAGCGGTAAACACCGCCGGCGACATCACGGCAGAGAGCGCGCCGAGTGTTTCTCAGTCCAGCGCGGGGGGCGAGCAGAGCCGTCGCAAGCTCCAGCCTGGCAATACTACCCCTCGGCAATTTCCTAAAGGCCTGAACCTGTTTGCGAAGGATGGTAAATGATCATGCCCGGAAAAGTTTAGTGTTTGATTTCATGCGGTTGCTATGTTTTATTTCGTTTATTTTGTATTTTTTCCGTGCTGTGAATGTATTCACGGAGCTTATGATGCCTGCTGGCCAAGGGCTGGGCAGCATTGGTGCTGTGAAGAGCATAACCGACCGGCAGTTGGTTCGAATGAACTGGCGCTCGTTCCTAGAAGCTCAAATCGCGGCGTGAGGTGAATCGCGGCCGTCCACGTGCTCCTGCCTCCCTTGATGTCTCAGGCGACCTTACTCCGAAGTGAAGAAGTCGATTCAGTAGTTTCCCCTTTGCTGTCGCCCATGCGCAGGCACTTTGTGCGTCACAGTGAAGAATAGAGATTGCGCAGCGCCCAACAAGTCCTACTTTTATGGCTTCACAGGCAACAAGCCCAGCCTGAAGGAGATTATCGAGTGCGAGGAGAAGCGTCAGCGACAGATCAAGGAGTGCGAACAGTGGTGAGCGGGCGACGCTTGTTCGTGAGAGGGCGACGCATGATGGTGGGAGGGCGATGCGTGTTGGTGAGAGTGCGATGCATGTTGGTGAGAGTGCGATGCATGTTGGTGAGAGGGCGATTGGTGTTGGCGAAAGGGCGATAATGTGGGGTGTGGTGCTGGTACGCTGCACACACACACCCATGAAACCATGTGCAAGGTACTTTCTGTGCGGCGCATGATTCGTGTCATGGGAAGCCCATGCAAGCTGTTCCTTTGGAGGGAGCAAGCTTCACAAGTATGTCGGCATGTGCCTTCATTTCCAGCCCGGTCTTGCCCACCTCATCCCCGTATGCATGGGCTGTGGGGCACAGCCGCCGTCATGGCAGCATGATGAGCGTTGCACGGAACGGCCATACCGGCTGTCCCTCTGTACCGGCTGTGCCTCTGCAGCGCAGAGGCTATAGAGTCTATGCGAGGCCCACCACGCCCGCATGTGCATGTGCTGTAAGACTGACTTGTGCCACCTCCCCACCTTGTCCTTCTCTCTGCAGAAATATCCTAATCCAGAAGGTCTCAACACCTAGCAAAACCGGGCATGTCAGCTGCCAAGAATAGGAGCATGTAGTAGTGGTGGGGGGAAGATGAGGGGGCTTCTGCTTGCTGCAACTTAGATTAGGCTTGTGACCAAGGGGGAGTGCTCATTTCACTCTTGGTCCTTCTGCATGGGTGTGCATTGATGCTTGTGTGCACCATGTTGGCGTTTGTGGGTATGGTGTTGATGCTTGGGTGGGTGGGTGTTTGGGGGAAGTGACCTTTGTGCCTGGATGTCAATCAGCAAAACAATGTATTTGATTGTAACAACTACCTATCATATGCTTCTTAAGACCCATGTGCAATTATTGAGCAGCCAACACTTGAATACAATGTGTGGTAGCCTAAGCATCGCTTCATGTGGCGGAGATTTTGACCCTAATAATGGGTATAGCTTTGGTCTTGGGTTCCTGCACTCATGGCATAAGACATAAACAGGGAAGTCTGCATGAGATTAATGGGGTGAATGGGGTTTAAGGAGGCATCTATATCCGACCAGCTCACAATAGAGTCAATCCGGAAATCGATCTCTGCATTGTGCAAGCACACAGCGCCCAAGAAGGTCCTCGTGTTCATGAAATACAAAAAGCCCACCATACTGGAGGTTCTCGAGTGCGAGAATAAGCGTCAGCAAGAGCTCAAAGAGTGCAGCAAAAGTCAGGATGGTGAGCGGGCGACGCATGATGGTGCTGGTGCACGAGCGATGCATGATGTGATGGTGTGCGGGCAATGCATGATGTGATGGTGTGCGGGCAATGCATGATGTGATGGTGTGCGGGCAATGCATGATGTGATGGTGTGCGGGCAATGCATGATGTGATGGTGTGCGGGCAATGCATGATGTGATGGTGTGCGGGCAATGCATGATGTGATGGTGAGCGGGCGACGCATGATGGTGCTGGTGAGCGGGCGACGCATGATGTGATGGTGTGCGGGCGACGCATGATGTGATGGTGTGCGGGCAATGCATGATGTGATGGTGTGCGGGCAATGCATGATGTGATGGTGTGCGGGCAATGCATGATGTGATGGTGTGCGGGCAATGCATGATGTGATGGTGTGCGGGCAATGCATGATGTGATGGTGTGCGGGCAATGCATGATGTGATGGTGTGCGGGGAATGCATGATGTGATGGTATGCGGGGAATGCATGATGTGATGGTGTGCGGGCAATGCATGATGTGATGGTGTGCGGGCAATGCATGATGTGATGGTGTGCGGGCAATGCATGATGTGATGGTGTGCGGGCAATGCATGAAGTGATAGTGTGCGGGCAATGCATGATGTGATGGTGTGCGGGGAATGCATGATGTGATGGTGTGCGGGCAATGCATGATGTGATGGTGTGCGGGCAATGCATGATGTGCATGGGCGATGCATGATGTAATGGTGCGTGGGCGATGCATGATGGTGCGCAAAGAGAAAAGGCGCAAAGGGAAAGCACGTCAGAATGCTTCTCCAAATGACTGCATAAAGCCTCATGCCATGCAAGGGAGGTTTGGCATCCCCAATGCCTTC